TTTAACATAACATGCCATCTTTACTCAAATTTTTGTAGCACATGAATACACAAAATTAACCTTCAAAAATGTCCTTAAAAATGGAAACCAGCAGAAATCAGATAAAAGTCTGCTAATTGATCACATTTAATGTACCACCACTAAAAAATAAAGTTAAAATTAGAAAAAAATCTAGTTGGTTGACAGACAAATAGTAGGCTCATCCCTGCTAGAATGAAAGCTAAACTTCATCGACCTCTCAATTTTGAGGCATAAAATCTGCACATAATAATGTTTTACAACTTCTGTTTTTAAAAAAAAAAAAATAAAATACTGATGTAGTTGTATCATCTGCTCTTTAACTCTCTCCCAGGTGGATGCTCAGCTGCTGGTAGTGCAGAAACTAGAAGAAAAGGAGGGTGTCCTGCAGAGCACACTGGTCACTCTGGAGAAGGAGCTGGCACTGCGCACTCAAGCCCTGGAGCTCAACAAGCGCAAGGTAAAACCGGAAAGATCACAGACGCCCACCTCTGTTCTCATGTCCATGACAACCATGACTCAGCTTAGCCAACCGTTAGCATACATTTCCAGATGTGTGTTTAATGCTTGTCTTTTTGCACGATGGCTCAGGCAGTGGAGGCGGCCCAGTTGGCCGAGGATCTTAAAGTACAGCTGGAACACACTCAGACCAAGTTGAGGGAAATCCAAGCCTCAGTACTAGAAAACCGAACTGCCCGTGAGAGGGAGAGCGTCAACCTCAAGAAAGCACAGGTGCATGGGCACATGTGTTGTAGAAAAGTTTGGGATACAAATGAGTGAGAACGATGTGTGTGAAACTCTTCTACTGTGCTGTTCTTCTCAGGAGGACTTGTCCAGACTGCGACGTAAGCTGGAGAAACAGAAGAAAGTTGAGGTGTACACAGATGCTGATGAGATTCTGCAAGCAGAAATTAATCAGTATAAGGTCAGTAAAAATTTCAGACACAGTACCTACTCATTTTATATATTGGGGGCATGAGTAAAGAAGACATGAGTACTTTTATTCAGCAAATGCATTTAATTGATCAACAGTGACAGTAAGACTAAGTATACTAGATTCTGCAAGAAGAAATTAATCAGTATAAGGTCAGTAAAAATTTCAGACACAGTACCTACTCATTTTATATATTGGGGGCATGAGTAAAGAAGACATGAGTACTTTTATTCAGCAAATGCATTTAATTGATCAACAGTGACAGTAAGACTAAGTATACTATACTAAGTATAATGTTTAACAAGATTTCTATTTCAAGTAAATGCCATTTGTTTGAACTTTATATTCATCTAAGAATCTTGAATAAAAAGGTGTCACGGTTTCCCCAAGAATATTGAGCAGCAAATATTGGATGGTTTCTTGACCACCAAATCAGCATATTAGAATGATTTCTGAAGGATCATATGACAGTGAAGACTGAAGTAATGGCTGCTGAAAATTCACACACATTTTTAAATCTATTCAAATAGAAAACAGTTATTTAAATTGTAGTAATATTTCATATGTTTTTTCTCTGTATTTTACTCTATATTTGATCAAAGAAATGCAACCTTAAGAACATTTAGAAATATTTAGAAAAACAAATCTCACCCCAAACTTATAAATAAATATATATTATTTAAAGCAATTAGAAAAAATATATTTTTACAATTTTACAATAATAATGAAGTCATCAAAGTTATGAAAACACAAATGGAAGTATGGGAAACATGTTGTGACCAAACTAGGTCAAACTGTCATATAATTTGAACTTCTTCATAGTAGCCACACTTTGCGTAGATTACACACTGTGGCTATTCTTCCAGCCAACATCTTGAGGAATCCAACTGGGATGGGTTTTTTCCCCATGTGTGCTGGCCGCTAGTTGGCTGCTTTTCCTGTACTATTTGGTCCAACTCATCCTTTTAAAAAAATATTTTTATATAAGCACAATTAATGTGTCTATGAAATTAATTTCAAGCATTTAATGACTGGTAGATTAGCTTAATACTGTATTTTTGGCTGACCTGACTGTTTTCTCCTTTCTAGGCTAAATTACGTTGTCCCTGTTGTAATACCCGAGATAAGGAGACTGTCCTCACCAAGTGTTTCCACGTCTTCTGCTATGAATGCTTGAAGACTCGCTACGACACTCGCCAAAGGAAGTGCCCCAAATGCAATGCTGCATTCGGAGCAAACGACTTCCACCGCATCTACATCACTTAATTTAGTGTGGGCTTTTTGATGAACTGAAAAAAGTAGATGAGAAACAAAGGGATGAAGTGGTCTTGGAAGCACAAGATTACCATGATATGGTATTTTAAAATGCTCTAGAGAGCCACTTTCACTCCCATCTGTGATAGGTGGTGCTAGTGACCAAACAGACATTGACAGAATGGAAACAATTGTGAAGTAGTCATGGTCTACAGCACACAAGCAGTGCTTCTTCATTGCAGAGGAATCCATTGAGTTTTGTCTCTTACTTTTTGTGTGTTCTTTAAAGTACTGCAATGAATTTTTTTTTATCTGCATTTTGTTGAATGACCATGAAAAAACAAAGAGGAAAGCAATCTGTATCTGCTCAGATTTCAATATATCATAAATGTCGTAACTCCACAGAATATGAGTGACATTTAAAGTTAAAAGAAACTGTTTTGTTTGGACAATTATGGCCTTATCCGTTTGAGTCGTACAGTAACTCTATCCAGTAATGTAGTTAGTGAGTCAGTCAGTTTCTATGGTGACACTCTGTTATTGAACCCCTTAAAGTTAGTAATGAACAGATGTGATGGGTACTGGGTGGAAAGAGGAGAGCTGCACAATTAGAAGCATAGATGGTGGTGCAGTGATCTTAAAAAGACAAAACAGAAATCAACTTTGGAGTCCAAGAAATATTCATGAACACAATTTCTCAGTAGGTACCATATATCCAACCATACTGTGCCCATAACTGATATATCACCAACGTATGTCAATAATTATTGCACAATTTCACCAAAATAAAATAAAAATTGGATAAAATTATTTGTGAACTCAGTTCTCTGCTTTGATATCAACCTAGACAAAACATTTACAGACATTACGCAATGTGTTTTATGCAAGTGTTTTACCTTACCAGTTAAAGCTGTTGTGTGGTTTTATGTTGTGATTTTGCATTGAAGATTGATTTGCTTGAATCTGGCTTTTCATTTTAATGGCGATGTTATTGTTGTACTTAGTGCAAAAGGATGAATTGAAACTGCTTTCCAAATGTAATATTAAAGTCCATATGTTGTCTGCCAGTACAATCCTATTTGCACAATGCATATGTCTTTAGTAACTTCAGTTGGTTTAGATAGATATGCATAGTTGCATACTATTAGAAGAGGATCACAGGGGAAGCAGTCCTGGGGAGAAAATAAAACCTACCACGCGTTTTTTTTAAACTTGCACATTTTTGCCCGGAATATATATGTAAATGTTTGTCATTATATTGCGCAATTGACCTTATGTTATTCCCCGCACCGATGGTTTTGCAGTTCTGATCGTATTAGTAACTGTATACCGTACTGCTTTTCTTCGCAGTCTGTGTTGTGTGTCTGCCAAACACTGAACTGTTGTTTGCTCCCTTGGACCAGTGACAGTGAATTACGTAGTTGGGTGGAGTGACTTTAATGTGCCTATTTTGCTCAAACATATTTTGTGCGCGGAGACTGGGGTCTCTAGTTCGTGCTCTTACAAAAAGTACTTGGTTTAAATGTGTATTCATTTAAGTTGTTTTCTTGATAGGTCTGACAACAAACGTCAACAAGACCATCAATATTATAAAGGCGGATATTTCCTATTACTAGAGAATTGGTGTCTTTTTCACGTAAATGTAGCTCTTGAAAGTAAAGTCGAAACTTTGTCCGCAAACAGGCTGTTTATGTGCGTTTACCATCATTAACGGTTTTCCAATCGTCGTGCTGTGAATACAGAGATTCTAGGGCCGTGTTTCAAATCCTACCTAGCGAGTTGCTTGCTTAGACATCGTTTTTGGGCATCATAAAGAATTAACGGTTCCGCTTCCTCCTTACGAGTTCGGATCTTTAACGGTTACAGTAACAGTTCTTTTAGTACTTTTGAGGAAGAATATTTTGAAATTCTTAGTAGATGCCATCAGCAGTCTGTTGCCAAATGTAACATTCATTCAGATTAAGTAGAAACACCGAATGATTCATACATTTTTTGATTCACGAAGAGAACCGTTCGATTTGCATGAAAAAGACTGGTCAGTCACTTTTTGTTTTTGAGTCACTAAGAATCGGCAGTGTGTCATTAATTCAGCAACAGGTGTTGTGCCGAATTCTGCACCCCTGCCAGATTTGCAGCTTGTGCTTAATATTTTGCATTGCATGTGAACAATAATAAGAACCATTACACCAAATCAAACTTCATGTTAAAATCACATATACATTTTTTAAAAGATTGTGTTCTCAGTAACCCTGCTAAAAGGGAACGTTATCAGAAAGTTCTGGCAAAGTTATGAACAGACATTTTTCCATTAACAATAATAGAATGTTTGTTCAAAGTTCTTTAATAACGTTCTCAAAGCGCAGACGCATTTATAAATCGTTTATGGAACGTTTTTCTAAAACATTTGAGTTGGAGTTGTCTAACTAAGCGAACATTCGCATGTTTGCAAAATCATAAAATGGAGCGTTCCCCTTAATGTTTACATAACCAAGAAAACAACGCTTTTTAAACTTTAAAAACTGAACGTTCGGAGAACATCCAGAAATAACGTTTTCATGACTTAAAGGGAACGTTAGTAAAACGTTCTTAGAACATATTTTGTTTGCTGGGAAATTCTTGACGTGGGTTGTCAACTCTTAGACCTAATTTTAAGTCTCGCGGATGCCCTAAACGCTGTCTACATAGACGGCCCACAAGCTTTTGAGATACGGCCACAGAATCTCAGTACAGTACATAGGAAATGACTCATAGAGGAGTTGAATCCAACGCGTGGGTGTGGGCGCTATTAAAACAAGACTGAAAGTTTGGGGTGGGTCATTCACACGCGCTGCTTTTGCTATGCTTGAAACCCATTTGTGGCTTTTAATCTTTTGAAATCGCTGTGGGATTTCAATATATATAAAGCTCAATGGATTCCGGTGCTATGTTGCGTTGCCTCTATTGGATTACTCTATTGATCGCCACGCTTATTCGTGGAATAAACGCGGATAAAAGTAAGAATATTCACATATACTTGCTTAATATCTCCATGTTATATCATAGAGCGTATGTGTGACGTTTGTTCTGTATTTTTCTGCTGGTGAGGAAAGTCCCAACCTTTATGTCTCATTTGTCCTCTTGCTATGAACATATATATTAGGCTCTCTATAGCGAGACGTGGAGTCAGTGGAGTTAATGACGATGAACTGCCTCATTCGTAATAGCTTCCTTTACCAGTTACAGTTCCCACCGGTTCCGCATTCCAATGCTCTTAGTTCACTCCCGCCCGCTCCGTGGGTTGTATTGTGCCCAGCTGAGAACAAGAGGCTGCAACTTTCCACGAGGAACATGAAGCTTGTAGTGCCTTTGTTACTTTGGCATGTGTATGTTACTGCTGGAACAGTTTTAATTGTAAAAACACTTGCAGGAATGAAAAAAGTGATTGTTTGCTATGGAGAAGTCTTAGGCAATGTCTTGGAAAGTGCCCATATGCCCTTGTTATATTCAGTGGCTTTAGTTAAGTAGTGATTTAATACAGACGGAAAACTGATTCATGTCATGTCATGTCACAAAGTTACATTACAACGAGGAAATTAGATTTAAAGTCTTGTGAATTTAACCATAACATCAAAACATGCTTAAATCATCAATATACTGTAGTGGTTCTCTAGGGGCATCAGGCCCACTAGGGGGCCTTACAAAAACTTCCAAGGTGGCTGCAAAACATCTTCATATTATGTATAATTGTGTAAAAAATAATTTAACAAATAAATTAAGAAAATAATTAAAGAATAGATTTTTTTTTCAGTGCAGCATACAACCTTTGCAAACAAAACGGACACATTTAATTAATACAAATGCCTATATATATTTTTTTAATTAGGCTATTTGATTATATTACTTTTCTTTAAAAAATGTTTTGGTAACAAATAACTTATTCAATTCTTTGTAAAAAAAAAAAAAAAAAAAAGTAAAACATGGCACCTCATAATTTCAGCAGAAGTAGCCTACAAGAGGAAGAACCCCAGGCTGTGTAGGGGGGCCTTCAAATATTAACTTTGACAAAAGGGGTCCTTGGATTACAAAGCTTGAGTACTACAGACACTGAGGGGTTGAAATTCAAGATGATGTTTACTGATCATTTAGCTTGCTTGGGAGTGCATGATAAAACATACAAGGCTTTGCTATTTTACTATTGTTCAAGGGCGCAGTGGTGAGGACTGTGATTTCAGTAGCCTATGTCTGAATTAACTTTTAGATGAGCAGCCCACATTCGCAACCTCAACCACATGAGATAAGAATGTACTGAAATCTGATTCAATAGCCTACTTCCTGAACTGTTTTAAAATGTGCTTTAATGTATATGGCATAAAGATATGCAGATCTTTATGTTTCAGTGAATTTTGAATGCAGTAGCCTAATGCATCCTTGAAAGTCTCCATACAGGGCCAATATCAGATTATAAATCAACGTGAGCAGTAGGCCTATACGTTGTTCGTCACACAACTTGTCAAGAAAAGATTTGACATTCAATATGCACTATCACTCATTTAATTAAGTTGCTCTGACTAATCATTTACATTTGATAGTGATCAATTTAGCACCGCATTTCACAAGGATGAGACATCAAGAGGAAGTCCTTTGAAAGCAAGTCTTCATTAGAATATGCCGGTGTTCTAGAAGTCACGTCACAGAGCACTGCAGCTGATTAGTTTGCAGATGTTAATCATATGTAGACCGCAGCTGTTTATGTGAAAGACTTTCTGTGGTACCTGCCTTACCGCTTTTTCCTTTAATGTACCTCCCCTGATTGCAAGCATGTGCGGAAGACAAACCCTAAGCCCCGCAGCTTTCACTGATGACTCCTTCGCCAACCCATTAGTTCTCTTAAAGTCTCTTTTTCATGTCCTCAGTTGTCGCAGTGGGACACTTTGCATTCACTCAGAGGCCGCATCATAGTCTGGCCGTGATCGAGTTTAGACTTGCTTACGCACTCAGAGCATGAGTAATACCGTTTCCCCGCGAGTGCACCACCACATCACTTCAACGGAATTTCCCAACTAATTTCATATGAAAAAGAGGCAGAGCGAAGAAAGCTCTTGGGTCGTTATTCAGTAGTAACACATCAAATTTGACCATTGTGCAAAATGCGAAACGCGTGCGGAGAAGTTGTTTTTGTCAGTTTCGCTGTAATTTGCTGCCGCTATTTGACACCTTTTTGTGTTTGTGCTTATTTGTTCAATTTTGGCAGGTTCAGCCCTTTGTTTGAAATCCGAATTCTGGAACAAAGATGTCGCACAATGTGTACCTTGTTATATATGCAAACAGTACCCGAAAACTCCATCATGTGACACATGTGAGTATATGGCTCACGAACTCATAAAAAAGGTACAAAAAGCTGTTACTAAGGCGGTAACTCCGATATACAAAAACTAAAGGTACATCTGTCTACCTTATTTGCCCCTAAATTGTACATATTAGTAGCTACCTTACGGGTAGCCTACATATTAGGCATACTTTAAAAGTACATAGGCTATTAGTGCCAAAGTAGGCTTATTTTGAAAGGGTTCCGCCCCATTTACAGTGTTGTCCCTTTTTTATATAGCCTACAAGAGTGAACGATTCGTTAATTTGCTTTTATCATGTGACAACTGAACGAACGCCAGTTTTCCGCCATTGAATGAACATTAAAAAAGTAATTGCAACTTTTTATCTCAACATTCTTACTTTTTTTTTTGCAAGAAACAAAGTTTGAATTGTGAGATATAAATTCAGAACTGCGGGAAACTGTAAAAATAGTGAGATTTCAATTCAGAATTGCTAGAAAAAAAGTATTTTCTTGTGAGATAAGAAGTCGCAACCACCCGTTTTATCTATTATTTATGTATTTGTTTATTTATTGTGACGGAAGCAGGGTTGCATTATAATTTCCTAATTTCTATTATTTTCAAAGAAAATGGGGGATTTCACTACAATGAAAAATTAGAATTTACGTCCACTCAAATAAACAAGATAACTTGAATAAAAAAATAGTTCATTTTGTTAAACAAGATTGAAGGATTCAAGTCATTAAAATGGTCCCATCACTATTGAATAAGGTTAAACACATGAGAATGCATTGCAAGTAGATGCTTTTGCAATAGGTCAAAGCTTACGTACAGAGAAGGAGTGGTCAGATTCTTTCTGTATTATGTGAAGAGCTGGAGGTCTTCCAGTAACATTGTCCTATGTTTTTAAGGCCCACCCATAGTGCCTTCGAATTCCTGGAGGGTGGCAGCAATTACCAGTTTATCTGTCCTGGCAGCCGTAATTGTTAGCGGAGCCTTGCTCATAGGCGTTCTAGTACATCAATGCAGGTCCAAGAGGACCTTACGTGGTGAGATGTTAACATTACAGCATCTTTTTAACAACAAACACTCTCTTTCAGAGCAGGACTCAAAACTAACTCAACTTTTTCTGTTCACAACTCAGAACCGATTGAAGAGACAACAGGACCCCTTTATCCAGTATAGGTTCTTCATAAGGTAGGGGTTGAAAAATGCAACACTTCTTAGGATGTTTTGAAATGCATTAAGGAAATTAGTTTTGTTCATATGCAATCTTTTAAATGTTTGCAGCTCATGGAACTCAAGCTGACAGCATATGAAAATGGACTGTTACTCCAGTGAATTAATGCTCCAGTCGGTTAAACACAGGCTGGTACCTCAACCACAGAGTGTTCTATGAGTAGCATCTGATTTGTCTAATTTATTACATTAGTAGGCTATGTCATGCATAGCAAATGGTTATGCAAAAAAGCTGCACTGAGACCTTCCTTGTCACTCACTGTGCAGAACAGGTTTGCAAGCCTTAGGTGCTACGTGACATCCTATAGACATCAAGAACGCATATTTTATATTCCTTTTTGTGGAACCCCTAAAATGCTTTAGCGACAGTTTTTGCCAAGATTTGTGGCCATTCATGCTGTAGATGCATTTCCACCTGAATATTCCTTGTTAGATTTGCAAACACGATAAGCACAAATAACCGAAACTAGTTTAACATAGCAGACTTAGAGATGCTACTTTTTACACAAATATGCCTTATAAACAGACTTAGCATGGCACATAGCCATTTGAATGTATTTGTAATCTTTGTACAACAATATTCTGACACTGACTGGCTCAGCAGCCCGTCTATGGCATTGATGAACATTCTGGAGATGTGGAGGCACTGAAGACCAGCGAAGACAAAGCATCCGATGACCTGAAAGTGAAGAGTTGCCAGCTGACATTAACAGATTCTTTAAAAGAGCTGCAGGTGTCAGATTCAATCTTAGTTTTCCTACCTTTATGCGCATAAGAGATTAGATAGTTTAGTGTGATATTTACATACATCTATCGTGATGCATTTAATCTCTCGTGTTTTGAAGATGTGTGTAGCCAGCTATGGGCATTAGGAAATGTATATATTTATATGCAGCAGATGCTGAGGAGTAATGAAATTAACTTGTTTGAAAGACTTCAAGCATGTTTAGAAAGAGTAAAGGGTTAATCTCACAAAACCTGTGAAGGAAAGGTCTGTCACATTTCAACCCAGAAATTATACTTTGCTTAAAGAAATTGTCTTTTTTTTTGGCAGTTACATTGTTTTCAAGAAAACTAAGCACATTTTATATGCCAATTCCCAAGAATACTTTATGTACCTCAATGCAAATCACTGCCATGTTTGTCAGAAATCTAGAATCAAGAAGCTAGTCCAGAATCTTGATAAACATAAACCTGTGAAGCATGCACAGCACTGTCAGTCTTGAGTAAAGTTGGTTGTGTATATGTGCCTTTACTCATTCACAATTACTCCAGACTGCAGAGGAAACTATGCATTTTAATGCAATAAAGAGACAACTAATGTACTGTATTTGTCTGTTGACGTTTTCTTTTCCTAAATGTTTTCTTAAACGTAATTTGGAGTCTTCACACTTGAAGAAACAATATGGCAGCAGTATGATAAACCCATCTACTCATTTCTCATTTGCATATTCTAAAATAATCATGTAATGCACTGCAACTGCAAGGAATTCAAGTGTAAAAGATAGATAAAATACAAGAAGGCTAAAAATAGAAGCCAAAACACACTATTATATTGTTTTTATTCAGTTCAAGAAAGTGAGGGTATCAACACCTACAAATAAACACCATCTGCTTATTAAGGTCCCTACTTGAGAAAGAGAAACATTGATCATGTGAACAAAAATAAATATTTTATATTTAAGATATACAGAACTGATTACAGGGAGTCTCAGTTGTCAGTTTAAGTTGTGTCAAATGCATTGAAGCCATTAATACATGAAGGTTTGCAAATTCTACTCTTGGATAATCAGTAAGCACTGATCTATAGGCTTAAAAGGAAACCATTTTACAAATAATTTAATCCAAGTAGCGTGGTGATATGAAATGGCACACTGAAATTCAATCTGGCATCAAAGACAGACACAGAAGCCTTGACGCTAGAAGCATCAAGCTAAATGTATTTTCTACATTGCGTCTAGTAAGTTGCGAGACCTGAGCATTTTTAAAAAACTGTTGAAAAGGGTTTAGTCTGTGAATTCCTGCCCTAATAGAGCCCGACCGATCATGGATTTGTTTGGGGGTCCATTAATTTTTTGTGCTCCAAAATCTTGAACATACTTCCACTTCATAAAACATTTACTAGAAAAGTATGCACTAAGAAAACTGAAATGTTTATTGTTCTTTCTAATATGCTGTTGTGAACGCTTTTAAAGAGGTATTTCTTAAGTGATTACAACCATTATCTAGAATACTTACATAATCGACCAATCTAGCATTTATCACACATTTAATACCATGCATAATGTGTACCACATTTAACAGTATTAAAGACAAGAAATATGCTTACATTTCAAATATTAATGTAAGGTTTAAATAGTTCTATTTAAATAAATAAATATCTTTGAGATTTTCTACAAGACAGGCCTAAGTGAAGGTTGCTGTTTAACAGCCTTACCAGTGTCATCCATTATGAAACTGCAGGAACATCAGGAGTATGTTGGTCTTAATGAGACGATCATTACAACACATCTACCATGAGCAGTACGATAACCTGAAAATATGGAAGCACTTAATACAAACATAATTAGAAGGATAGCATGTATCCTATTATCCCCATAATACCTTTAAAAATAATAACAGCTTGTTTTGTTCCCCCTCCGATTACGCCAAATAATCGGTCAGGCTCTTGAAGGCAGCACTAGGTAAGAGTCTGGACAGAAATACTCATCCAAGCTCTCAGTCTGAGACCTATCATAGTACCAAACAATTTGTGCACTGTTTGGGGACACAAAACAATTGAAATAAAATAAAAATCTAAAATGGTCTCTGACAGGCACTGTCACTTATTCTAAAATGTCTACAGTATTACTGTCCCTACCAGAGGTAGTATCTTATCAATGCCAGTCTTAAGTGTCCATTAAAGACACAACCGTAAAGGAGGCAAGTCTTGCCGAGATTAGCATCTGTGTGCGACACCATCTGGACAAGTACAGCAGAAAACCTGATGTACGATTATTGGCATTGGGCCTTGGGTGGAGAACGAGTCTTGTAATAGAATATTGTTTTGAAATCTTCCCTTGGAGCGGCAAGACTGGAGCGTGGCCTTAGAGGAAAGGGTCCACACCCAGTCCCATGAACGCATTATCATCCACGTTGAAGGAGGACTCGTAAGTCTGTTGGGTATTCTGATGCATCTTCTGATGGTGCCGAAGGTTGGACTTGCTAGAGAAATGCTTGTCACAAAGGAGGCAGGAGAAGGGCTTCTCTTTGGTGTGGATGCGCCTGTGGCAGATAAGCTGGGTGGAGACCCGGAAGGCCTTGCCACACTCCAGGCACTGATAGCGTTTGGGTTCTGTGTGAATGCGCCGGTGATTCTTCAACGCCATGAGATTGGTGAACTCCTTTTGGCAGACCGAGCAGAAGAAGGAACCCGTCTTGTGGCTGTTCTTGTGGTTGAGCAGTGAACCAGCGTGGCGGTAAGTGCGCCCACAGTGCTCACACACATGACTTTTCTCTTTCCTACCGTGTCCCTTGCTACTTTCCTGCTGGTCTTGAGGCTCAGGGAATCCGTGCGCTCGGCTGAAGGCTGAATCGATCTTAGGAAGGCTCTGAATTCCTATCTTCTGGTCTAGTGCCGAGTCCCAGCCTAAATCCTGCTGCATCTGCATACCTTGCTCATGGTGTGACTGCCCCTGCAAGCTGCCATGGAGCTCCTGGTGCTGCTGAAAACTAGCCAGGTTTGGGAAGTTCTGTTGACACATGTTGCAATAATAGGGGAGTTCCTTACTATGCACCTCCATGTGGCTCTGCAGGTGTGCAAACTCACAGAAGGTTTTTCCGCAATCTGGGCAGCAGTGGCGAGCCATTTGAGAATGGCTCTCTAAATCCAGAGGGTTCATGAATGTTTTGAGGCAGAGAGTGCAGTGGAGGAGGTCAGCAGAATGAGACTTCTTGTGGTTGAGAAGGGAACCGGCATGTCTATAAGAGCGTCCACACTGATCACACCTGTAACAAAGGAAAAGATTGCATCAGATGAAGGAAAGGATAGGTTTTCAAATAACATTTAAGAAAAGAAAAGAAATGACTCACGTGTAGCATTTGTCCATGCCATCCTGATTTACAGTAGAGCTTGGACTGCCATTTCGGTAACAGCGATGTCTCTTTAGCCCAGACTTTCCTTGGAAGCTTTTGCCACATGTTTGGCAGCTGTAATGAGTTACTCCCCGTGCATGGATTTTTTGATGATTGTACAGGATACTGGAGAGACGGAAAGATTTACCACAAGTAGGACAGACATACTTTTTCTTCTGCGTGTGAATGCGTGTGTGGTTTCGTAAAGCCATGGGATTGGAAAAGGGCTTGGCACAGAAGGAGCAGGTGAAATGGCCTGTTTTGTGAGTGTTCTTATGGTTCAACAAGCTACCAGCGTGACGATAACTGCGACTACAAATGTTGCACTTGAATGGTCGTTCCTCTTTTTCTAGGTCCGCATCATCGTCATCATCTACATCTCCTGGGGGGACAGAATCAGGAGCAGTCTCTTTGCTACAGGTATGTCCTTCAAGTAGTTCAGTATCTGGAAATACAAGACGGCACTGCTTGCAAGTCAAATCCTTTTTTTGTTTGTGGCCCCTGACCTTTCCTCTTGCTGCTGCATTTCTTTTATTGGTTGAACATGTGTGGTTGAGTAACTGTTTGTTTCCCCTGAAGGCCTTTCCACAGTCTTGGCAGCGGTGTCTTTTGATGGCAAAGTGTATTCGTAAATGGTTCTTCATTGCTAGCTGGTTGGAGTAAGTGTTGTTGCACAAAGCACAGTAATATTCACCTGTCTTGTGCGAATTTTTGTGATTGACTAAGCTCCCTGCATGTCGATAGCTTCGCCCACACTGATCACAGACAAAAGGGCGAGGGTCCCTGGGATCTCTCATCTGGCCCTCTTTTTCTTGGCTAGACTGATCACTGTTAGAGGTCTGCCGTTGCTTAAGGCGTCTGCTCATTCTCTTTCTGCTGGAATTAAGTGCCTGCATTCCACTCCCTGAGGCATTCCCACTCATCTGCATGAGTATCTGAATTTGTTTGTTGAGCTCTTCAATCTTAGCCTTGTTTTCCTGATGTACCTTCTGGTGATTCAACAGTTGTTTATAGATTTTGAATGCTTTTCCACATTCTGTGCATCTATGCCTGGTAGAGAAAGAAAAAATATCAGATAAAAAAAAAAGAACTTGGCTGTAAAACAATATAGATGGAAGTATGATCTTATTCAATCACTTTTGTTTTCGAAGCAATCAAATTCTGAGGTTTAATTTGAACATATATTTTAAACACTTACTTTTTAACATCAAAGTGTGTCCTCTGGTGATTCTTGAGAGCCAGCAAATTATAAAAACGCTTTTGGCAAACAAAGCAGCGAAACACTCCAGTTTTGTGAGACTTCTTATGATTGAGTAATGATCCAGCATGTCTGTACGAACGACCACATTGGTCACACTTGTACTGGTGCTCTCCATCATGTGAACTCTTCTGCAAAAGTTCTTGCTCAAATGCACTTCTAAGAAGCGGTTTCTCCCCACATTTCTCCCCCACTTGTCCATCTCGTTGTCCTGTGCAGCTGTGGTTACTGAGGTGATAAATATCGCTGCAGCTTATGCCACATTTCCCACAAATAATACTTTCGATTTCCACTTTTGGTTTGAGCTCATTCTGGTGGTTGGATACAAATTGTTCTTGCAGATTATCTTCCATACTGCTATGCAGGAGCTGGTGGGCTTGTAGGTCCTGTTTCTTTGTAAAGCTCTCTCCACAAGTGCTGCAGATAATCAGACTGCAGTCACCCTGCTGATTTTCACTCGTTTCATCTTTCTTGACCTCTAGAGAAGACAATGATGATGGGCCACATGCTGAAGGTGCGGCATGAGTTTGAGTATGACCTCTGAGATGGCTTCGCAGTGCACGCATGCTAGTATAGTGATTCCCACACACTGAGCACTGATACATCTCTCCATCGTCCTCTTCTTCATCATCTTCACTGTCACTCATCTGACTATGAATGTTGTCAATAAAGGTATGCTGTCTAAAATAGGCCTCTGCTGCACTGCCGTCATGTCCCTCAAAACCAACATCTTCACCTGACTCTCCTAAGAAATGTTGATGCTTTGTGTTATGAAAGTCCATGTGACCGGGTGAGCCATTCATCATGGTCTGATACTGCTGATTTAGGAGGGGACACATGTGTGACTTGATTCCTGCAATATCAGTAAATGTCTTACCACAGTCAGCACACATGTGCCTCTCCATGAGGTGTTCATCCTGAGGTAGGTGCCCATCTGTGAAGGAATTGTCAAACTGCTCATGAAATTCAGTAGCATTCGTCTCATTCACATGCTCGTCATCAGATTTATGCTGCACAGAATCTACCAGGTCCTGAGGAAGGCCTAATATTCCACTTACATCTTCCTCATTTGATGGAAAACAGTTCTGTTGGTTCTCATGCGTCAAGGGCTCTGAGGAAAGCCAGTCACCCTCAGAACTAGCAGGCAAAGATGTGGGCCTCCCCTTATGGATCCGAAGGTGGCTTCGCAGAGCTGCCAAATGTGGGTAGTTCTTGCGGCAGATGGAACACTGAAAGATCCCGGTTTGATGGGATCGTTTGTGATTTATAAGACTGCCTGCATGCCTGTAGCTTTTGCCACAGATGTTGCACTTGAATCGGCGGACAGAACTGTCAGCATCTTCTACTTTGATGTTATCAGTACCCTGTCCTAAATGATCAGGGTTGAGGTTTTCTGATGGTAGGGCCACTGGCTGTCCCGGAGCATGCAGAGTCAATGGATTTTCATCTAAAGAGTTGGGTAGATAAATATGACCATTTTCCAATGGCCCATCTGATTGGCCATAATCAACAGATTTATCGAGTAACGGAGGCAATGGTGGAGTGTCACTAGATGTGGGATAAGGATTAGACTCTGGGGAATGAGTAACACTATCATTGTAAGAGAAACTGTGCTCCTCTGACAAGTTGGTAGGGAGCTCAAATGACACAGAGGAGGAGTTATGCAACAGAATATGATTTTGAAACTCATCACCATTAGTAAAAGCAACCTGACAAAGGTGACAAAAATGTATTTTAGCATCACCATTCTGTGACATAACATGAGGGGCAAGTTCTTGCTTGCAGTCTGTGAGGGCAGCTTTAGAGGTCTGCACACTGAGACGACCACGGGTTTTACTGTGGATTCGCTGGTGACTATTAAGTGCAGCAAGATTACTGAACTGTTTAAAACAGACTGGACACTCAAATACTCCCATTTGATGAGTTTTCTTATGATTTATGAGGCTGCCATGATGTCTGTATGTCTTGTCACACAAGTCACATTTAAACGGCCTGTCTCCAGCATCATCTTCAGCTGCCATGTCACTGTCTGTGGTGGCATTTGAAATGTGTTCTGACACTGCATCATTACTAAGGCTGCTCGTTGGAGCAATATTTAGCTTCATGTCTGGCTGCAAATCTGGTATAATGTCAAAATCCATCTCATCTAGATGCAGCAACTCAACATCTTTATAATTACTTTCAATAAGACTATTTGCAGAATCCTTTGTCCTGATTTGAGACTCTTTATTGCGATGGGCCTTTTGATGGGTGACCAGCTGAGTTGCAAGGCGAAAAGCCTTTCCACATTCTGTGCAAGAGTATTTCTTTCTAGACGTGTGGATGCGCAGGTGACTTTTGAGAGCCAATGCATTGGAGAGCTTCCTGGAGCATATATGACACTGAAAAGAGCCAACCTCATGTGTTTTTCTGTGATTAGCCAAGCTGCCAGCATGCCTGTAGCCTCGTCCACATTCATCACATTTGAACTTCCGTTCCTCTTCTGAATGATGAAAAGTTTCAGTATGCTCCAAAAGATTGGGCATGCTTGCACATACTACACCACAATGTCTACACGAAAAGCCTTTGGTCCGGCCTGGCTCTTGCATAGCCATAGTGGTATAGTATAATGATAAGAAATGTCAACAAGAGCCAGTTTGAATGAGTGTGAGGGACACACCTGTCCTCGCTATTATCAAATTGGCCTGTTCTGAGAGGTCTGAACGTAAAGGCAACATTCAAAAAATTAGCTGAGAATACAATCTGTTCCATTCCATTGGAAAAACATCATTGGTAAGATGATGCAAGCGCAGGCACTGGATGAAATCTGTAACAGGAAAACCCATACATTATTTAGCATTAAGTTTACGCAGGGCAATTGCATAACAAGAAAATGATGAAAAGCTAACAATTACATTGCTTTTTCTAATGTGACTAAATTTTGACAAAAAGCTCTGAGTTTACATAACCAATGAGTAAATAAATAAAAGGAAGTATTCTAACATTACTGTAATGAAACAATGCACTGGTTTATAGAGAAAATTTATGCAGAACTGAAGATTCTATCATTTACCCTCATGTTGTTCCAAAAACCATACGACTTTCTTTCCATATAACAGTCTCAGTCAACATTCACTTTTATTGTATGGACTAAAAATGTCATAAAAGTAAATGCTGACTGAAGCGGTCATTCTGCCTGATATCTCCTTTAATGCTGTTTGAAGAAAGAAAGTCCTACAGGGTTGGAATGTCATGAGGGTGAGTAAAGGAATTTGAGACAAGGTAAAACAGATTCTCTATTATTGTTACCAATTTGATCAATTATTAATAGATTAAAATAAACAATTAAAAATAAACAAACAAACAATTAAAAATAAACAAAATTTAAAACAGAACTTGGGACAAAATAATATGGATTTCAATGGATAAATGATGACTTTTCTTTTCTGGGTGAATTGCCCCTTTAATAAGCACTTTTTGTATGGTCACATTGAAAAAAAGTGTTCATTAAGAGTACAAAATCACCCCTTTTATACAAGCAATGATTAAACCAATTTGCAGTGGTGTAATGTAACGAAGTAATAATCCTTCGTTACAGTACTAAAGTATTTTTTGGGAGTATCTGTACTTTACTTGAGATTTTATATTTCAGCCAACTTTTACTCCACTACATTTCCTAACTAAAATGTATACTTTTACTCCAATACATTTCCCCGAAGCATATTCGTTACTTACTACAAAATAGTCAGAAGTCAGAAGAACACGGACTGCAGGAAAGCAGGTTTGACGAATCAGTGGTCTGGGGTTTGCAAGGTAGACTCCTAAAAACACCTTTGCTCACGTGCAAACAAGTGCGCGCACAACCGCTACTTATTTAATGAATCAACTTTTTGAACGAATCGGTTAAATAAATGATTCAGTGTTTCATCGGTTGAATCTCAACAACTCACTCATTAACAGTCACTTGCTGTCAGCTACTGGCAGTTTTAATTTCACATTTCGACTATTTTTTTCATGCTTTAAATCATTTCAAATATCAGTATTCAACGTTTTATGTTAAAAACAAAACATGAGGCCTATTTATGCATCTGTAACTGCAGTTTAAATGCATCCATGTCCCCTCTGAGATACATAACCTGTGCAAAATACATCTAAATGCTATTTCAGATGCAGATTCCAGAAATGTTTTCTTATGTTGGAATGAAAGACACTAAGTACC